AGGACAGGAGGGTATTTATACATTCCACACAGCTTATCTAATTAACATAAACTAGATACAGCAGTCAACCAATAAGGAATCTCCACACTTAATGGCTCCCTGGAGTTACTTCACAAACCACTCCCTTTGGCAAAATTCCAGGCGCCATCCAGACTTGTTTACAGACCTTAACACAGTACCTTCACCTTTAGAAAACATTCTATTTATATTTTTAAATTGAAATGTATTTTAATTGATACATGACATAAAATTGGCATCGTTTTTGGCTAAGTGACAGATTCCACAGACATTTCATTATTGGGAGACAGAACACTTGTAGACCAGTTTTCTTGCACACCAGAGTAACTAACCTGGATGAAATAGACAAGGTTGAGACAAATTTCATAAGGCTTTTAAGTAGATCCCTCAAAACAACATTTATCCTTTGAAGTTGCTATACTATAGAGACATTCTGACATCATTCCTTCAGACCATCTCAGTAACACACCTATGTCTGCTCTCTTTCAAATGAAATTTGTCCTGTCTACTCACCAAAATTATTAATGAAAACATAGAATGAAGTGGTGCTATTAATAAGTTGAATGTTCACTAAGGGAAAGCTTTCTAGTCCAATTGAATATTAAAGGATTACTTTTTTAAAAGGGATTATTTACAATAATAAATTATAAATCAAGTCAGCATCTGGGAGCTCAAAAAAAAAAAAAAAGAAATTAGATCTTGAACCCAGTGTGAGACTTGGCTGAATCCTATAGTTATTAAAAGCTCAAAACAGGAAATCTAAGAGTGGTGGGTTTTGAATCATGATRGGCAGGGGGATTTAAATTAGATCCAAATTTTATTACTTGCACTACAAGGCAACACTACTGTGACATGGTCTTAAGAGTGTTTCAGAATTAGAGGATCAGATAGGATACTTCTAGGGTTTTGAGGTCTGRATTCAAGTAGTCTAAGGTACCTCTAAAAGTGTTACTAAGAGTTWCATTTCCCCAGATGTGAAGWTTGAASATTTGCCAAGGCAAGTGTAGAAAGYAAGTTTTATTTAAAGGACTRGAACCCAGACAGACTTCTCCACAGAGAARCCATCCCAAGGCTGGGTATCAGAGGAAGTGGAGGTGTCCTGTCTCTTTTATACTTGTTAGAATGCCTTTGTTCTCATGCCCTTCTTCTCCCCTCATTGTGTGCACCTAACCAGGGACAAAAGATAGATGAATCAAAGGTAAGAAAGCCCTCCAGGGTGCCTCTGAGTGTCTGTCCAAAGGCTCAGGGAAATGGAGGATCTGGGAGTGCTTCATTAACAAGCTTTTGGGAGGAACATTCCCTGCACTCCTTACCTCCTCCCTCCCCTGTACACTTATTTTTCTGAAGGTGGCCAAACTATATATTTGAACACCTCATCTAYGATGTGCCTTCAAATTTCAACATTCACCTCTATAAGAGCATCTTCCCCATACATCCTGTCCCCAATTTAATCTATACTTTTCCCAAAGGTTATGGGGGCTCTACAACTYTGAGTAGGAAAAAAAGTTGCCTGAGCTGGCGTGGAGCTTAGGGTGACAGCACTCAMCTAACRTGTGTGAGGCCCTGAGTTYGGTTTTCCAGAATTGAAGGAAATAAAGGGAAAAAAGGAAGAAGAAAAAAAATTATATAATTTATTTAACTCTAATCCACAAAACATTTAATGAGATAAGTTACAAATGTAATGAATTTTTCAATATGAGTGCTTTCAATTGAACAAACAAAAACAATAGCAAAAGTACTCATAAAAATGGCAAGCTCCTCTTCCATTTTGGATAATGRAACTTTATATATGGTACTTCATTTCACGTACATTAGTGACTTCAATTCTATA